ATGGCCTGCAGTAAGGGACACTGGCTGCCCTTTGCAAAGATGGTGGTTGTGGCTTCATTTAGGGTAGGGAAGCTGCAGCTGCAATCTTTGCAAAGGGCAGCCTGGATTCCCTTAGCCTGCCTTAAGGGAATCCAGGCTGCCCTTTGCAAAGATGGAGGCTGCAGCTTCCCTACCTTCAATGAAGCCGCAGCTGCCATCTTTGCAAAGAGCAGCCAGTGTCCCTTACTGCAGGCCATATCAGTGGAGGCCAGCTGGAGACCAATGCTACGGGGGCGGCAGCGACAGCGGTGAGTGGGGTGGCGGGGGTCAGGTTTTGTTTTTTAAGACAGCCTCTGTCTAACTCCCCCACCCCTGAATTGACAGATTCGTGCTTTATCAGTTGATTGGGGGAAGCTTCATGCTTTGTCAACTTTGACAGATCATGAACCAGGACGAACTGCCAAAATGGTGATTCATCCCCATCTCTATTCATAAGTTTAATGCAAAGGCTGGTCCAGGAATGACATCAAACTGTTGTTTGGTATTACATGGAACGTCCTGCTCTTCCTCTCCCTTATACTGAGATAAAACATGATTTGTAATAATGTTTGAACCAAGCAGACTGCAGTTTGTCCACAACTCATAGTTTATGTTGAAATACATATTAGAAGACATTTTCAATTTGGTTTCCAGTTTTCATTTTTGAAAAACAAGTAGTCTGACTAATTAAAATGAAAAAGGGCAAACTATAGGAAAGGGAGTATACAAGCTGAAATTGGTTCATGTAATGCAATACTGGAGTTTGTCATTATATCTGAGGTAATTTTGTTCTATTTCTGCACTCTCTCCCATATTATATGTTAAATTGTTTACCTCCAGGTGTTGGCATCTGGATCAAATACTTCAATAGTTTTCAAATATGTTGTACCATCAAAACCTCCCACAGCCATTAGCTGTCCATTCACTACAGCAAGGCCAACCTAAAAGACAATGATCACATAAGTTATTTCTGTAAGCTGGGATGCTATGCTCTTACAGGTTTCAAAGACCTATTCTTCTCTGAAATACTGTACTGTGGGAGATTGGGTCATGTATGCAATACACACTTTTCTTCTGATGGAAGATATAGTAATTAGTTTAGCTAACTGATAGCTCAAATTTTCTCCCTCAGTACACTTAAGACTCTACAATCCAGAACCTATGGAATTGTTCTGTCTTTGCTCTTAGGGTCAATACTTTATGTCCAAAATGCATAAACTTAATTTGCAAGCTCTATAAAAACCTATTTTGAAGAGAGGGATTGCATAAATCTGGCCTATGTGCAGAAATCCTATTTAAATACTTCATGCAAGAAGACCATCCTTTTGAAAGTTAATTTCAAAAGAAACATTAAAAACATTTTATTTCGGCATACTGCACCTTATAAATTACTAGTAAAATGCATATTGACATAAAGCCAGTCTTCTGAATAGGTTTTGGCCTTGCTGAAACAGGCAACATACCAGGGGGTGCTGATAAATATTGAGCCTTTCCCAGAAAAAAATGAGCTAGGAATCTGTAACTGCCACACTATTCTACATATTCCCCCAGGAAGTCAATACACTTGCAACGTATGTCCTGCAGCTTCTTAAGTCCCTGCAAATAAAATTCTTCCAACTGCTGGTGTAACCACTCATTTGCAGCATGTTTTTCGGGGAAAGGCTCAATGCTTCTCAGCACCCCCTCATATGAATTTTTTTAAAAAAACAGCTACATTATTTTTGTAAAATTTAATTGTCACATTTTGCATTCTAAAGTCATATGGGTCTGTTTATCAAACTTATTCCCAATCAAAGGCCTCTTTTGTATCTTATAATAGAAATTCAGCAGAAATGGCAGCTAAATCAAACAAAGCTTACCCCACTGCGGCGTGATGTCATAGCAACAACAGGGGACCACTGGTTGGTTCTGGGGTTGTATCGTTCAGCACTGCTAAGTTCAGTAGTATCATCTCTGCCTCCTACAGCATAGATCATGTCTTGATACACAGCACAACCAAGGTGCTTACGTCTGGTGCCCATGGGGGCAATTGTATGCCAACGGTTCTCCTGAGGGTTGTAGCGCTCCACTGTGGACAATTTGTATGGTAGTGGTCAAGAAGTAAAGAAATCTAGCAAGTGAAAAGAAAATAAACAACCGGGCTGCCCTGCTCTCCCCCCCCAATATTAAAGTAAGTATATAGTAATTTCCATCATAAGTATATGAGAAGTTTTTTTAGAATCTTACATACTGTCTATTTATTTATTTGTTTGTTTGTTTGTTTATTTATTTATTTATTTATTTGTTTGGGTGCAAGGAACCTTTCTAGGCTGTCGGTCTGTCCAGCACTAACCAATCATTCCCTCCCAATTCTGAATTCAAAGAGCCCTCCCGGCCTCTTTGCTGAGTGTTCTCTTTCTCCCTCTTTTGTCTGAAGTCAGTAGTTTGCCATTTGCTGTTTCCAACTGTTAAGTAATGATACATTTTTTTCCTCCCACAAATGTCTGAGTAGGAGCATTGAGACTGTCTGTATAAAAATAAGGCATTCTCCTCTGTGCTTCTATCAAAAGGATACTTTTTACCATAATTTCAACACCCTCTAGCTTCTAATTTTCAAAAGTGACAAGAAAATAGACAAGCAGAACATGAGCTCAGCTGACCATGAATGCTTGAGAGATACAAGGTATGGCAGCTATGAACCACTGGGCTCCTCTCACCTGTCACATTTATTAGCAACTGATAGGCCTATTTTACAGGAACATGAGAACACTGAAGAGCTAGAGGTTTCCAAAAAATGTTCTACCAAACTAAAACCTACGGAAAGTGCCTATCAAAGGTACCCAGATACATATTTGGACTTAACTGAACTATATAATATAGAATTAATGCATCATGTCAACTTTATAAAATCAGAGCTAGTCCCCATTGCCACCTAGAAGTACAGTTTTCTAAACTATTTCAAATGTGTAAAAGTTAGTAGCATCTAATAGGTAACCTAGTGATAGCAAGCACATGGAAGGTAATTATGTGGGCAATACCTGTATTCAGAGGTGATGTCCCATCAGAGCCTCCAACAGCATAAAGAAAGCCCCCTAGCACAGCCACAGCTACCCCAAGGCGTCTGGTACTCATGGAAGCCACTCGAGTCCATTTATTCTCCTTTGGATCATATCTGAGGTTGGAGCGAAAGGAGCATCTCATTTCAAGTACAACTACCTCAACCTCCTTCCAGAGATCAAACAGGCTTTAGCATAGTGCTTACCTCCTCTGACCTGTGAACATCCTGCAGGCTTCCACCTCTTAGCAAAATTAAGGCCTTGCTGTAAGTGGGCTGCCTCCACCTTCCCCTCCCACTGATGTGTGCTGCCTCATTGAAGGAAAATAAGCCTTTGAAACAGAAGCTTCTGCAGGGGCCCTAACAGCACCAGCATTTCTGCTTTCTGGAGAGAAGTCCCTGAGCATCTCCCAAACCAGGAAAGCACTCTGCGGGTGACTGTGGCGGGATGATCCCTCTGTGGAATTCTGACTTGTGGCCATCTGCTTACAGGATTATGGCTGACTGTTAAGTCATCTGCTTCTACCTTCTCTCATTGAAGTGTGCCATTAGGCTGAGGGAAGTGGCGGCTTTAAAATCAGCTTCTATAGAGGTGGCCCCACCACTGGCAGGGATGCTGCCAAAAGAGGTGTGTGTTTAAAGGCCAGGCTTTTTGCTTGGAGGGGTTAATTTTTCATTTGGCTTCCTGTTTGTTATTGCTTGGTGTGCTATATTGATAAAGTTACTGTCTACTGTGGGAAGGAAACTGTCTTTTAAATTTGGAGTGTGGTGAGAGGGAACAGGGAACAGCCATTGAAATAATACAAGGTAGGGGGGATATGGTGAGGGGAGTCAAGTATATCACCATAAGAGGATGGAAGGAATGGCATCTTGGCTACACCTCAACTATTTTCTAATTCAGGCAGTCTGCATGATCTTGGCAATGGTCCCCTTATGTTAAGAGAGCTGCTGCTGAATGCCAGGCCAGTGAAAAAGAAAACATCAGCCATCCAGGACTTCATCCTGAATGAACAAGCTGACATGGCATGGAAGCTGGGGGAGGAGTCAGTCTCTCCCAGCTCTGCCCGCCTGTGCAACAGATGGCCATGCTTGGGGATGGGGAGGTGGAACTGCTATAGTTTATCACAATACTGTTCCACTCTCCAGGTGTTCTGTCCCACAATTCGCAAGGCTTGAGTGTGTCTATCTGAAAGGGGGTGCCTGGGACAGAACAGGAATTCTGTTGACATACCATCCACCCTGCTGCTCAACAGTCTCCCTCAGCAGACTGAATTTGTCCTGGAAGTGATGCTAAACTTGTGTTACTCTGACTCTTTAATATCCATGCTGAGGCCACCTTATTAGAAGCGGCTCAGAACTTCATGTCCTCCATGACAACCATGTCCCAAGTGGTTTTTCTCCCCACTCACAATACAAGACACAATGATGGTGAGCTTGGTGTGGAGGAACTCTGTAGTTTTGTTGTCATGGACAGATCACTACTTCATAGGGTTTAATTGAAGCTCACAATCTCTGCAGAAGTGGAAGACTGATTAGGATGATCTGCCCCATGAGACTGATGGATGAGGCTTTCTGATGGCTCTTTGGGAGTTTGTCACCTTGACAGGTGGTCTTGCTGGCCAGTCCTGGCCAAGGGTGTGAACACAATGCCCTCTCCCGTGGACTAGAATCATATGAGCCCCCTGGTTTGCCAGGGGTCTGGCAGTAATGGAATGGATACCAGAGCAATGATGCTGGAAACTCAGACCAAATTCGACCAGACGCAGGCTAGAGCTCATCTGAAGGCCTATTCGGTGGCGGTGGTGGCTGCAGTGAAGAAAGTATTTTTCTCAGCCACCACTGCATCTGCAGAGTTGTCTTGAGTGGTTAGAGCCCCAAAATATGCCCCACCAAAGGAACAAAGTGCTGACCACTTAGGTACACACTGTAAGGAATCTGCATGATTTTTTAAGCAAAGTTTCTCAGATATACTCCAACTTGGATGCTGTTGAAACAGGACCTGCAGATGTAATGCTGGCCTCTGCTTGTCCCATATTAATGGATATGTTTCAGTCTTGCAGACTGAGGATGTGGATAGGAAAGCCATCATGTGTGTGCTTATAAACACAACCAGAGGGGGACTAGCCAAGTGGGTAAGGGGAATGGTGAATGCCTCCCTGCAGCAAGGCAGGGTCCCAACATGCTTAAAGAAGGCAGTATTGAGGCCATTACTAGGGGGAAAAGCCCTCTTTAAATCCTACTGTCCTGGACAAGTCTAAAATATTCAATTTCTGGGCAAGGTACTGGAGCATGTGGTGATTTCTCAGTTCCACGGACTCCTGGATGAAGCTGATTATCTAGACTCATTTCAATCTGGCTTCAGGCCAGACTATGGGATGGAGACACTTTGGTTGCCTTGGTGGATGACCTGCACTGGGAAATGAACAGGGGAGTGTTTCCTTGTTTCGGGTAGAGTTTGGGGTTCGATGTCATTGGTATGCTGATTACATCCAACTCTCTCCTTTTCATCTAATTCTAAGGAAACTGTCTTGGTTCTAAACTGGTCAGTCATGGGTCGATGAGGTCAAATAAAATGAAACAATCCAGATGAGACAGAGGTGCTCTTGGGACAATTAAAAGACAGGTGAAGGAATAGAGCTAAAACCTGTCCTGAATGGGGTTCTGCTCCTGAAACCTCAGGTCTCCAAGCTTGAATGTACTCTTGAATTAATTTCTGAGCCTGGATGCCCAGACTTCAGTGGTAGCCAAGTTTACATTTGCTTAGTTAAAATTTAGCCTGCCAGCTGCACTCATTATTTGAGATGCCTCATTTGGTTAATGACACATACCTTAGTTATATCCAGCTTGGATTACCATTAATGCTCTCTGTGGGTTGCCCCTGCAGAGGGTTCAGAATAGAGATGGGCACGAATCAACCAAGTGGCAATTCATCTTGGTTCATTGTGGTGCACAAACCATGAATTTCCCCTGAATTGAACCATGTACCACTTTGTTGGTTTGTCAGGCCTATAAAACACCCATCCTGGCACCTAGAGACACCAAAACTGCAGAGAAACCACCTCTGACTCTTCTCTACTACCTCTCCCATGACTGGTCAAGTTTGGGTTTTGGACGTCCGAATTATACACCTGCAAAATAGGTCCCCCCAGGAAAGTTCCCCTTAGCAGCTGGCTGGGGGGAATTCCAACACTGGTTCACACCAGGGAGCATGCCTAACAGAGATGGCATATAAGTACTCTGGTTCCTCTGACTTACAGAGGCAGGCAGAATGGTTCCCCTGAATGGCAGAAGCATGAGAAAGGTTGAAGTGACTGACAGAGGTGGTTCTGAATTTGGTGGGTTGAAGAGGCTGGAATGGGACCCCTATCTCATTGGGTTCGATGAAGGGAAGCCTAACAAGGGAATGCTAACCTTTATGAATGTCAACCTCTCCACAGTTAATGGACCCAGATGGGAGCAGCAGGATTGGAGCATGTCACTCAGATGTGAAAATACACACTCACGCTGGATACTGGTAGGGGCAATGGAAAGGTTGTCCATGGCCACAGTGGACAACTCTGGCCAGATGCCCATTTTATGTACCCAGTACCGTAGGTGATTTGATCTGGGGGGCTGGCTGGGCTCTGCCAGGTACTGTTGCATCATGTCTTCTGCTGCTTGTGTGCCCTATTTGTAGTGGCAACTGCCCAGCTTACCACCATGCTCCAATAATGTGGACTGGATTCCTTGCCACAAGAAGTCCCTGCACATGGCTCCTGAGAATTTTCCTCCCCCATGTATTCCTCGTGCACTTGCACATACATGGCATGCTCCCAGCACCCTGTGGACCTGAATGCAGAGATTGGTTTTCCATTCCTCCAGCTCCACAGTGCATGACATCAAGCTGCCCTAGATGTGCGAACCACAGAGGCAAGCCAAGCAGTAAACTCTGTCTCTACAAAGAGGATGGAGTCACTTCCGTATGTCTGCCCACAACCTAAACACCAAGACTGTGGCCTATGGAAGATCTCTGAGAAAAAAACAAACTACATAGCCTGGTCGAGTGAGTAAGGGGGATGACTTGCCTCAGGCTTGCATCATAACCACACAAAGCATCTGTCATCTCCTGGAAGAGCTCAAGCACCTGCACCATGTGGGGTAGGGCAAGCCAATCTATGGCCGCTCTTCCCCTGGGCAGAATGGGCATGAAGGACATGGTGTCCTCCAAAATAGTCTTCTGCTCCTCTTGACATGAGATTATCTTGTAGTTGGAGTTTCAGTAGGTTGGCAGGTCCTGCAGGAGAACATGTTCCTCCTGCCTCAACTCCTGTCTCATGAAGCCAACAGGCAGCCTTCAAGCTGCATGAGAAATGGCTCACCAGGTGGTGGCACTTCTCTCAGAGTGTGCCCACGTCTCCTGTGTACCTGTGTCCCGCTCAGACATGATTTTGCTCCCCAGGCAAATGGCATCACACACAAGATGCAACTTGTGCACCATGCACACCATGCCCTCAAAGCCTGCCACACTGAACGCCGCCAGCACATTTCTCCCAGCATCTGCCACAGATGACATCATCCTTTGTTGCCCTCTCATCCAGTGGCAAGACACTCATCTGCAGTGTTTCTCTCCATTGCCAGAGCCTTCGTGGTCCTTGCCTACAGCAGAACAGCTGTGCAACCTGGTGGCAGAAGGAGGATCTCCCGTTTGATGTCACCCTTCAGGTTCAGCTAATGGTTCGGGGCGGGGGCAGATTTGTACCACAGGACAAAAAAAAAATTAGCAAATGCTGGAAAGCTGTGGTTTCAACAGTCAATGATGGAAGCTCAAGCAGGGCCATCATCTCAGCAACAAGATGAATGCCTGCTTTGTATGCCTTGTCCTTGGACCACCTGCTCCAGATTGCTACAGCCCCAATGGGAACAACGTCCTGGAGCATGGTCTGCCTTAAGTTCACATTAAGCAACAGCCGTCGTGCCTGCCCCCCCTTTTAACCAGTGATGACTCCTTCTCCCTCCTCACCTTTTCCCCTGGTTCTGATCTCTTCCTCCTCCTAGACGGTGATAAACACCCTTCGGCAGATAAGAGATCAGGGCAGCAGTGGTGAGCAAAGACCCTGTCACTTCTGGTTCAGAGTCCTAGGAGAATTCTGGATCCTTTTCAACCAGTAACTCCTTGGATTTCTTTACGAAAAGCAGCTCTTCTTCAAGCACCTGAGGAAGCTTTGTTTCCATCTCCACCTGAATTAGTGATTTCTGATTAATTTTCATATTTGTTTTTTGATTCGTGCCCATCTCTAGTTCAGAAACTTCAACTGGTTCAAAATGCTGTTGCCAGACTGCTGACTGGAGCTAGTTATTACAGGAAGCATGCTATAACCCCTGCTATAACAACTGCACTGATTACCAGGCCATTTCCAAGCTCAATTCAAACGGCTGGTTATGACCTATAAAACCCTAAAAATGTTGAGTCTAGGCCATCTGAAGGACTGCATCTCGCCATATGAACCTTCCCAGCCCTTAAGATCTTCAGTCCCATTGCCACAGCAGGCTTTTAATAACTGGCTGAGTCCCTTGATGTTGATTTTGTGTTCTAAATTTGTTTTTATAGTTCTTCATACTTTTAAATAATTAAAGGCTTTTTAATTATTATTGCAGCTTTTAATTGCTTTTTAATCTGTAATTTGTTGGCTTTTTAGTACTGTTTTTAACACTGTGAGCTGCTTTCGGTCCCCTCACCAGGAGGAAAATTGCCTATAAACAAGACTAAATAAACAACAACTTAAATACCTTTCAACAATATTGAGACAGGAAACACCATCCTGACCTCCCACAGCATACAAGTAGCCACCAAGAACTGCCACTCCGACACTGGTTCTGCAGGTGCTGGTGGGTGCCACATCGCTGCTCCACTGATTGGTCTTTGGGTCATATCTAGAAAGGACACACACGTCAGACCTTCGTGATAATCTCCGCTAGGCCGTCCAATCTTTTCTCACAGGGCAACATTTTCTTGTTACCTGCTATCCTGTCCTCAAAGCTTCTGTTTAGCGTAACCTATAAAGAGCTTAAAAGCAAGGAGTAGGATGACCAACCACGAGAAAAGAAAGCAAAACAATTCCAGGCACAGCCTCCTTTGTCTCAACTTTCAGATTGCAAGTGGTCTTGGAGGATACCAACTGTGGTATTCTACCCCATTCCACTGTTCTAACTCTGTTTTGAAGTATGTTTTTAAATTATGCCAGGATAAGTAATTTTTAATCTAAGCAGGATTTAAAATATAATATATAAATACAAATATAAATGTTGCTGTTATATGCCTTCAAGTCGGAAATAATCTATAGTGATCCTAATAGGGCTTCCAAGGTAGGTGAGATATTCAAGGATTGGTTTTATCAGTGAGTTACCATGACTGAGCAGGGATTTTAAACCCAGGCTTCCTAAGTCCTAGTCTGTCACTCTACTTCTACATGCTTCTATCCTATGTGCTAGCACAGCACTCTGCAACATCCTTTACAATAGGAAGCATATAGCAAATTTAGCATAGAGCTGTGGTTAGAGTAGGACCATTTGCATCAATAGGCCTAGTCTAGTGTGATTTACTACAACAGAATTTTAGCCAATAAGTTCTAAAAGCAGTTTTCTGAATAAGCCTCTGGGTATCCCCCCCCCGTACAATTACTATGGTTCATGCCAGAGTATTGCTTTGTGGTTACAAGGGTTTCTCATTTAGATTGTGATCTTGTGAAAGCTATACAAACCCACTGCCAGAAGTAGGGAATGGTACAGTACTTCTTAGTACTTCATACCTAGAAAACCTTGGAAAAAGTTCTGCGTAAGCTACAATCAACTTGGTGGCATGTAATTATTATATATCAAACTACCATATATGCCGCCGTACAAGGCGACCGGCTGTATAAGACGACCCCCCAAAATGCGGTGCCGGAAATTCATGGCCAGCGGGGAGGAGGGCGAGGAAGAGGCTTGGGGGGGTGGCGGCAGGAAGAGGAGGAGGAGGAAGAGGGGAAGCAAGGGGGGTGGCAGCCAAGCACGTGCACCACTGGCTCAGCAGCGCGGCGGGCAGCCCGGCGGCAGGCTCTGGCTGCTCAGGCATGGCAGGCTGTGCTTCCCTCCCTCCATCTGCCTGCCCGCCTGCCTTCCTCCCTGGCGGCAGGAGGAGGAGGAGGAGGAGGAGAAAAAGGGAAACGGGCGGGTGGTGAGAGAACGAGCGCGCTGGCTCAGCAGCGAGAGGGTAAGAAAGAGGGAAAGAGACTGAGCAGGCGGCGGCAGGAGGAGGAGGAGGAAAAGGGAAACGGGCAGGTGGCGGCGAGTGCATGCGCTGCTGGATCAGCGGCGCGGGGCAGCGGCCAGCCCGGCAGCGGGCTCTGGCTGCCCAGGCATGGCAGGCTGTGCTTCCCTCCCTCCATCCCGACTGCCTGCCTGCCTTCCTCCCCGGCCAGCGTGGCATGCGTCACTCACGCGGCGGCGGCTCCTTCCTGGCCCAAATGAAGTGCACCAGGCGTACAAGATGACCCTCCCACTTGGAGGCATGTTTTTGGGCCCCAAAAGTCGTCTTGTACGCCGGCATATACGGTATTTATTTATTTATTTATTTATTTATTTATTTATTTATTTATTTATTTATTTAATTGAGTTTCAACTTGTTAACCCTCATCCAGTCCATTATCAGGTCCAGACACGAGTTCAGCACAAAAACTGCCTCACCTGGATTGGTAGAAAATGAGAGGTAGAGCTGACTGTTGTCAGCATACTGCGGACTCCTCAGCCCAAACCTCCTGATGACCTCTCCCAGCGGTTCCATGTA